ACTCCGCTCTATCCTCTGGCAACAACTCACCTTTAAATTTGTTTTTATAGTTTTGACTTTTCCAGAATAAATCTGATTCCAGTTGGAATCACAGGATGTGTAGTCATTTCAGATTGGATTCTTTCACTTAATAGTATGCATTTCTATTTCTTCTATGTCTTTTCATAGCATACTTTTTTTAGCTCTGATAATATCCTATCATCTGTGTGTACCATAGTTTATTTATCTTTTAAACTACTGAAGGACATTTTGGTTGCTTCCAAGTTTTGGCAGTTATGAATAAAGTTGCTATAAGCTTCTGTGTGTAGGACTTTGTGTGGATATAATTTTCCAACTTTGGAGAAATACCAAGGAATGTGATTTCTGGATCATATAGTGAGAGTCCTTACTGATTATAGTGAATTCATCTAACTATCCTTGTGGTTCTTTAATTTTTTGCCTCACATATTGTGAATCTTTATTTTTTTTTGAGACAGGGCCTTGCTATGTAGTGCAGGCTGGCCTTGAACTTGCTGTGTAGCCCACGCTGACTTCAAACTTGTAATGATTCTCCACCTCAGCCTCCCAAGTGCTGGGATTACAGGCATGCACCACTGTACCTGGCATGTATTCTGAATATTTTGTTAGGTGTACACACACTAAAGATTGCTATGTGTTTTGGGAGTGTTGACCCCTTTATCACTATGTAGTGTTCATTTTAATCTTTGCAGACATTCTTTGCTATGAAGTCTGTCCTTTCTGAAATTACTATGGCTTCTCCTGGTATTTTAGGCAGTGTGAGGGATTGAACCCAGGGTTTATATGTTAGATAAGTGCTCTATCATTGAACTACACCCATAGCAGCCCTCCAGGGTTGCTTTTTTGTTGTTGTTTTTTGAGACAGAGTATTACTAAGTAGCTAAATTGCCCAGGGTGTGCTCCATCTTTCAGTCCTCCTGCCTCAAGCTGCTAGAGTTGTGGAATTAGAGATGTGCTCCACTGTGCTCTGTGCCTAGTACAGGGGTGTTCCTCATAGGAGTTGTTTGCTGCCATCTGAATATTTTTCTGTGGGTTATGAATAGATGAGAGATTTGAAAGGTATCAGGAAAATTTGGAATACATTCGTATAATGATTGACTTTGTGCCTGCATAGTTTGGAGTTTAGAAAGTTGATGGGTGAGATAATGTAATGTATTTTGTCCTGTGATGTTGTCTAGAATAGAACATTAGTTTCTTTTTTTGTTGTTGTTTTTTTCCGGTACCAGGAATCGAACTCACGACCTCACGCTTGCCAGGCAGGTGCTGTGCCGCTGAGCTAAATCCCCAGCCCCAGAACATTAGTTTCTGTAGTGATATTAAATGACATTTATATTTAGTAGTAGTGAGTGGTAATTGCTTATCTTCTGAGGCACTCTTCATTACTAGCTAGACCATGCATGGTCATAATTTCTGCAACGATTATGCACATGGTTCTTTTCTTTGTATGGTTACCTGTGTGGCTCTTGCCTCTGAAAAGTCATTTGCTTGTGGATAAGCCACCAAAACTACTTGTCAATATCAGCATGTCATGTAATCAGCATAGGTCTTTTTTTCTGTCTATAGCACTGTGATTTACATATCTTAACATGAGGGTCTACCAACTTGTGCACACAGTGATTGTTGTCTAAGACTCAATCATAAAGCTCAGTTACTCCTTTTATATTAATTCCATTGTTTTATTTCTCAGTGTTCATTGCTGACATACCAAATGTTAAGTTCTCAAGAGATCTGCCTTTTACTCTCTAGGATGTGGTAAAATTGATGAATAAGACAAGTAGTGATCCAGGAAAAAATATCAACCTTATTATTCTGAAACTCTGTGATGGAGAATGTTGCCTACTGTATGGAGCTAAATGGGATTGGTAACTTGACTCTGCAGTCTGGCCAACTAACTTAGTCATTGGCTTGGCCAGACCAGCAGAGGGGCCCCAATTAAAGAGGTGAAAATTACTTACTTACTGTGGGCAGTTTGTTCCTAAACAGAGGTATGGAGATGAATGAACATGTCTTCTTTATTAAATATGAACTAATTAATGGCAAGACTAGGGATTAGACTAGCTGGACTTTCTCCAGGTGGAGAAAGTATTTTTCTCTGTCATGTTTATCTGTATTTTTATAATTAATGTACTTTGGCTAGATGGATGATCTCTAGCCATGGAAGATAAGAATTTAGTGAATTTATATATCCTTCTCAGTCTCTTATTGTCTAATTCTGTTGTAATTTTCACTTTGTGAAGTATTGTGTATTAACATTTCACAGTCATTTACCTATCATATTTTCAATCTACATTTTGTTTTGTTGGAATTAATAACTGTTTTCTTTAGTTGGTCTTTATTCTAACACTTAGGAGTTCTAAGGTTTTCCCAGTTATAATAGTATATCTGTGTATTGGTGCTTAATCTACTTTACCTTTAAGGTTTAGTCTGGACTTCTTGCATACAAGTGTTGCTGCATTAGTAGTCATCTTAATATCTTACCTTCAGCATTAACCTTAGTTTTTCTTCAGCTTGATGTTGAATTAGATCTCCTTACCCAGCTGTGTTGCCTTCTTTCTTTTGGTATATTCTCATGTTTTGTAGAGCACAGATTTTAATTGCGTCTTGATAAAAAGTATATGGGAGATAAATATTTTGAGAACTTCCTTGCCTGTAAATATCTTTAATTCTACCAGCACGGTTAATTCATGGTCTGAATCGAGTGCATATTTCTATATTAGAAATAATTTTTCTTTAATTTGATGGCATTGCTCTTTTGCTTTTAGTGTTAAAAAGTTTGATGCATTTTACAATCCAAATCCTTTTTATGAAATCTGTTTTTCTTTGGAAGTCCATAGAATCTTCTTTATAGCTATTATTATGAGGTCTTACAATAATTTGTGTTGCCATAAGTCTCTTTGTATCATTTGTGATAGACATTTAGATGACTCTTTCAGTCTGGAAGTTCATATCCTTTCAACCTGGACAGTTGAATAGAATTATTTATTTGAATTACTCTGTTTTCACTATTATAGATTTATGTATAATCCCCATATTTTCAGCAGTGTGCTTCTGTTCCCAGCTATATGTGATGTACACCAGTCTGAAACTCCCCCAGGAGCTCCAGTCTTTGGCCATTGTGTGATGAGTGCAAGGTCAGGCTTCACAGCACTGGGGAGGTGATTGGAGGGTTTAACTATTACTTAGGCTGATTTTGGAGAGTCCTGGTGGTTTTATCCTGAATCTCACCCTTGTGGCCAGACATATGTGAGCCTGTTGAAAGTCTGTAGCATACTTGCTTTTCTGATTTTTGCCACTCTTGTCTTTGGATTCAGCTTTTTGAGATCTAAGTCATATATATTAGTTCTGGAAATATATGTGCACTTATATATAAATAAGATGAGGTAGCTGGTCTAATGAGCATGATGATACTAATCAGGAAAAAATGATATTTCAGGGGCTGGGGATTTAGCTCAGCGGCAAATGCGCCTGCCTGGCAAGCGCGAGGTCGTGAGTTCGGTTCCCGGTACCAGAGAAAAACCAAAAAAAAAAAAAAAAAAAAATATTTCTAGGAATCTGCAGTGGCATTTTGTTTATTTTATGTGAAAAAGGCTAAAGTTGTTAGAAGAGAATGTGAAAAAAAGTATGAATTCTTTTTTTTTCTTTATCAGTTTTCCTGGGAATCTGAGCTCTGTCCATGGACTTGGTTTGGAACCTCTGAATTAACTAGGACATATTGGTATATGAAGCCACAATCATCATTTTCTGTGTTTGTTCATTTTGAAAAGCCTTCAGGGCTAGGGATGTAGCTCAGTGGTCGAGTTTTTGCTTAGTGTATATGAGGCTTTGGGTAGTTCAAGCTCCAGCACTGAAAGAAAAATCTTAGAGACCCCTTTATATGTATAACCCTGATTAGCATTTTCACTCGTTCAACAAATATTTATTAAGTATTATATAAATGTAAAATACTGTACACCACAGATGTATTACTTAATGAAACAGAAAAATTCCTGTCTTCATGGAGTTTATATTTCTAAAGGAGTATTTATTGACTATAGTGTAGCCTAGATTAGAAAAACCTAGTTTGTATATATCACTGTCACTAGAAAAGTAACTGAGCTTACATATCCTTCTAATACCATCACTTTGTTTGAAATAGAACTTGGAAAATTTTAATTATAAAAATATTTATTTAAAAAATTAGAGAATACTGGGGCTGGGAATTTAGCTCAGTGGCAAAGCACCTGCCTGGCAAGTGCAAGGTTGTGAGTTCGATTCCTGGTACTGGAAGAAAGACAAAGGAAAAAAAAAAAAAAAGAAAAAAATTAGAGAATATTGATGGGCAGAAAGGAAAAGATACCCCGCATAGTCACTCATCAGAAATAGTCACTGTTAACATTTTGTTGGTACACCTGTCAGTCTCTTTTTTTCTCATATGTGAATGTACATTTAAATATACATTTCTTTAAAAAATTGGATTATGGGGCCAGGAATATAGCTCAGCGGAATTGTGCCTGCCTCACAAGCAGGAAGTCCTGAGTTTGATTCCTGGTATCAAACAAACAAGCAAAAAATTGGATTATGCTTTAAAAATTTAAATATACTTTTTCATTTATTTTTGTCAAGTTTTATTTGAATTTCAATGGTAGCATAATACTGAAAGTTAAGAATACACTATAATTTACATCTTTAGTTTGTTCCTATCATCCTCTTTCCCCACTGGAGAAATACACTGTGAATTTGAATGTTAAAGAATCTAAGTACTTCGTGGACATCTAGTAGGAGGTAGTTGAAGCAGAGAAGTATGTTAGAAGGTAAAAAGTTTTGCACATAGTGTACTGTTTTCAATTATACATTACTTAATATTCTATCTCCTTTTAAAAGTAATCTATAAATAAGCCGTTAGCTCTGGTATGGTTATTTGCAAATAATACATGAAAATCCTAGTATAGTATAAGTTGTCTTTGCTACTTTCTGAGCTTTCAGCCAAATCCCTTTGTTTACAGCTGGGATCAAAATGCAGAGAACTCAAAGATATTCATTTTGGCCAGTGTTACAAGATCTCAGATGAAGGCATGATCGTCATAGCTAAGGGCTGTCTGAAACTACAAAGAATATACATGCAGGAAAACAAATTAGTAAGTACCTGTTTTCATTTTCATGCTGTTGTTTAACTTCTAACTTTTGAATTCCTTAAACTTTGGTTGTACATTTTCTTCTGCCTTTTCTTTTGGTAGTTGAGAGGCAAATACTACTTACTGAAAGTAAAAAATACCCTCTCAAAACAGTGATTTTATAAATTAATTTTTTAACCGAATAGATGCTTGTATGTGGTACTTGGTTTTAAAACAGTCCTCATTAACATGTGCTAATGTGTCTTTTCTAAATTCTGGCATTACTTAGGCAAATTGGAAAAAAATTGATTTATCAAATGTGTCTGTGGTTGTAGTTCTTTCTGATTCCCCTAGGAATTATAATTATTCTGGATAGTTAAGATTTAATGTAAAGTTAGGAGTTTACACTTGTGAAATAGAGCTTTTTACCTAGCATGATGGAAATGACATTGAATAAGTTGGGACAGATAATCTCGATGATTACCTAGATTTTATATGTTAAGCACATATACTTGTTTTTGTGTTTCTGGTTTTGTTTTTGTTTTTCTTCCGGTACCAGGAATTGAACTCACGACCTTATACTTGCCAGGTAGGCACTTTGCCACTGAGCTAAATCCCCAGCCCCAAGCACATATACTTGTAACTCACGCATGTGTTTAATATATTTAAAAGTATTCAGTTTTCTTTTATGGAGATGTAATTCACATAAGACTCACCTTTTTAAAGTATATGACTCATAAAGTTGTACAGTTGTCACCAATAACTAATTCTAGAACATTTTTATTATCGTAGAAGACACCTGTCCACTATCACTCCCCTTTTCCCAACTGCTAATCTCATTTCTGTTTCTGTGAATTAGCCTCTTCTAGACGTTTCCTAAAAGTGCAGTGATGTAATATGTGGTCTTTTATGTCTGGTTTCTTTCATTACGTGATATTTTTGAGGTTCATTGATATCATAACCTGTATCAGAGTTTGATTCCTTTTGTGGCCGAGTAATATTCAAAGTCACTTAGTTTTCACTTGAAGGTATACCATAGAAGGTAACGGGAAAAAGTATCAAAAGAGTGGCACGAGTAGGAATTCTCAATATTGAAAAATAGCGTACAACTTGGTTGAAGATAACAACGTGTAATATAGCAACCACTGTTAATTCCTGTCATTTTGTTTTGAAACCCTGTGTCATTTTTGTTTTTCCTTTCTTTTGTTTCTATGTTGTTATTTTGTTATCTTTTTTATTCTCTTCAAAATTTAAGAAAAACGTTGACAGAAGGGCTGGGGACATAGCTCAGTGGCATGAGTGAGTGGCACAAGCTCTAGCCTGGCACATGCAAGGCCGAGTTTGATTCCTGGTAACAAACAGAAGGTTGACAGGCTAGTCCTAAGTTTGTAACATATTTATAAAGAAAACTTATTTTTAAGTTGCATCTCAAAAATATAGAGATCATTTTTTTGCCTGTTTGAATTATTTTATATCATTTGATAAATCTTTAATAAAAATGTTTCATACATGAACTTAAGTTTGGAAAGGTTCCTTGATGTATCAGCATATCTAGTGAGATTTACTGTTTTAAAACAGAGATTTTAGAAAAATTGAGACACTATGATTGAAAGTAAATGATTTTTAAAAACCATGTAAAGGGGCTGGGAATTTAGCTCAGGGGCAAAGCACCTGCCTGGCAAGCGCAAGGTCGTGAGTTCAGTTCCTGGTCGTGAGTTCAATTTCTTCCCGGAAGAAAAATAAAAAACAAAAAAACCCATGTAGAATATTTTCCCCCTGAACATTGGTAATAAAATTACTTCATATATTTTTTTACATTTAATGTAAATGTACTCAAAATTGTATGATTGTGTTAGGTCTTTTGGGTTAGAGATACTGAAGTTTTGACTCCTGGTATCTACTCACTTGCATTGTAACCCTAGAAAAATTGGTTAAGGTCTTTAAATCTCATTTGTAAATGGAGGGGTTTTTGACGTTTCTTTTTTGGGGTCAATAGTTTTGACGATTAAATGGCATAATATCTTCAAATCGCTTAGTATAAATTCTGATTTATTACCAGTACTAAAAACCTAGTAGTTTTTAAGATATTACAACTAAATTTGTTAAGCTGTTGGCTTCCACTTTACACTAAAGATAAATTACAGGATAATAATGCTGAATTTAAACTTTTTCTATTCCTTAAAAGTATTTGTTCATGTTGAGTAATGTTTGTTTTCTTGTGTAAACATGGAGAAACATTTTTTTTTGGTACACTAAACAATTTTTAGCTAGTGGTTTCCCAAAGGAAGCAACTGTTTTAAGGTTTTCCTTCACTTTCACTTTTTTTTTGGTCTAATACTATAGTACATTAAAAAGATGTTACTTGTTTAAGTACTGAGGAAATTGGTTCAGGGTTTAGTGTAATTCTTTAAACATTTTGTTCGTTCATTTGTTTGTTTGTTTTTGCAGTTCAGGCTGGCCTCAGGCCTACTTTGTAGGCCAGGTTGGTCTCGAACTTGCAAACGATCCTCCTGTTTCAGCCTCCCAAGTGCTAGGATTGCAGGTGTGTGCGACCATACCTGGCCTAAACATTTTAATTTCCTTGTGAATTTGAAATAATTTTATTAAATCTTAAATGTCCGTGCAATAAAATTCTCATTTAAGGTGCTTAGAAAGAAAATTTTAGTATAATTGAACTGTATTGGATTAATAAGTTATTGCTAAATAACTTCCCATAGGAAATTTGCATTTTATTTTTAAAATTTGTGAAATAAGGAGAAATATTTAAATTACTTGCAAAGCTGCAATTTTTAGCAGTTTGGCTGTTTTCATTTTGAGAAGTACTATTGGTCATTTAAAAATAAGCATTTTATATTAGCAACTAAGGGAGGTTTTTAGAGCAGTGTACCTAAAAGGACACCAAAAGAATTCTACCTTTGCTTTGATAAATACTTATAAGTAGCCAAACTGTTTGCTCAAAGAGTTCTGGAGCTTCATTGCACAGTTTTAAGACATTGTAATATGGTGTTTTTCTTCTTTTTTAAGTATAAACTTTTTTGAGTTGAAATAGCAAGTTGATTTTTTTTTATTCATTGGCAGTATTTGATTTAGCAAATGTCTTTTTCATATTATATCTTGGCCTTTAGATGGCAGCATTGTCTTTGTGCATTTTGGTGATAGAGCTTTTGTGTCCTTGATATAACTATAAAAATATAATGCCTGTACAGTTTCTGCTGATGTTATGCTTCCTTTTTAATTTTTGTCCTTTAGCCGGTCTTAAGGGAAAAATTCCTTTTTCAAGTCATTTGAAATATCTAGTTGTGTCTAGTTTATCAACAGGATGAACTAAACCATTTTATATGAAGTAGCAAGGTATTTGAATATTCTTACTTCTGACCCTGAATTAAGTAGAATAAATTTTAGAATAGGGGCAGGATTCCTATGTTTATCAGAGGAAGAAGTTTTCTCTTGTGGCAAATAAGGGCAATGATTTGACATTTTAAGAATTAAATGAGTTATGGTGAAACAACGAATTAAGGGCCTACATACCGAATCTTCTCAAAAGAAAATAAGTTTCTGTTTCAGTCATTTTTTGAGTAAGGCAAGTACCATACACCTAAATAGACACATTTTACATTTGCTATAAAACTTGTGTAGACTCTAGAAATAGATTTGAGGAATTCAAATGTAACCAAAAGTCTAGCATATTGTATGCATCTGTCTTCTAGTGATAGCTTTTATGTCATTTCTGTGTAGTACTTGCCAGAAGCTATTTTTAAGTCATTGTTAGGACATTATTTTGGTTCATATTCTGTTGCTATGACAGAATACTTGAGATTGGATAATTTATAAAAAATGGGATATTCATAGTTCCGTAGCAAGAAGTCTGAGAGCCTGATACCAGCTGGTGAGGGCTTTACTTCCGTATAATCCTGTGGCAGAAGGTGGAAAGGCAAGGGAGAGAAGGAAAGAGAGAGAAAAGTGAGATTAGGGAGGGAGAAAGCATGAAAAAACAAGCAAAGGGAAATCAAGTAGCTGTTGTAACAGTTTTACTCTTGTGATAAGTAACGGGTCCTCATCATAGCAGCATTAATCTGTTATCAAGGACAAGTTCTAATGACCTTCAGCCCCACCTCCCAGTGGTGTTGCGTTGGAGATTAAGTTTTCAACATAGGAACTTTAGGGTCCACATTCAAGCTATAGCAGTTGTATAATTACTGGGGATCTGGAAACCATTCTGTCTGCTTTTTTAATCTCCCCGTATCAGATTCTGCTTTCCTACTTTTTGGACACAGAAGCTCTTAGATTGGCTTTTTATTTGGTTATAAAATGATGAGGTCAGATAGATTATCTGTCATTTGCTATACAGCCTGATGTTTTAAAGTATTGGGGTTTTATGATTTATTTTGAATATGACTTCTGTGATAACTCTAGGGTTAGCATATTTGTTTTAGATTTGTGTATGTTATGTGTGCTTTGGTCTGCTATCTTTTTAAAATACCTTTTATTTTGAAGAAGTAAAATATCTTTTACTATGGGCTGTGAACTAGTAGAGATTTCTGAATCATCAAGGAAATACTAATGTATCATGAATAGATTTTAGAAAGTTTCAGGGAAATGTTAGAGATATTCTAGTTAAAACTTGATTCCTGAAAGTTAATTTTGAGCTTCTATTTTTCAGTCTCCTGGTTGATTGATACTTGACTAGTTTTGTAATTATTGTGGTATTTATTAGAAATCTGTGACTGCTACTATAACAGTATTTTTTAAAATTTTATTATCCTTTGGAGGTTTACATGGATGAGGTAGGAAATGCATTTGCATCTCTAAGATTTCTTCTGCCAAACTGGAAGCCTTTTAGGAAGAGATTGATGAAAACGCCAATTTTGAGTCACACTGAACCTAATTTAAACCTTGATCCTGCTGTTTCTTACTAATATAACTTGGGTTAGTTACCTTAATTTTTGTGCTTTCATTTTTTTCTTCACAGGAAGGATATACTACTACTTACAACATGTTCTTATCAATGTCAGACTAAATGAGAT